GCTGTCGCTCAATTCAATAAGTGATTCCACATCACTATCGCTATTTTCTAGCTGCTCAAAAACCGCTTTTGACCTCAGCGGACGCTTGTTTGATGCCATGGACGCTGTCAAGTTTTCCAGGCAAATATAATAGTAAAAGTGCAGGAAGAACACTGGTACTATCTATAGGAACAAAGCTGAGCTGAAATAATTCGTTACAGTATCGAAAAAGTAACGAAATAGCACTGTCTTCTCTATAATACAATGTATTAGTATATGTATGTGGTGTTTCACTTTTGAATTTCGCGCCGGATCCGCCTCCTTACGACGCTGACGTTAGCGTACGCTGGAGACGGATGCCGGCATTGTGCGAAGGAGACGCCGAGATGCCGCGGGGATCGAGGGACAAGGTTAGTGTGATTTCAGGGTATTCCCGAGTGTGGCTCGGGATTACCGCTCATAGCTAGGAAATGTAACCCCGAGCCACACTCGGGAATACCGCCAGGGAGGTTAAATGTAATTATCTCTTGTATCTAATGAAAAAATAGATACGTAGAGGTTATTCATATGTCAAATGTTAAGTTAAAAATAAATAAAAATGTCCTTCATATAAAATAAAATAATTTGTCAGATACAGCATTAGCACTGTGACACAAGCAGTAGTATGCAACTACCTCGTTTTAGAATGCTGAAAACAAATTATGAGCAGCATCAAAAACTCCAAGCTGCAGGTCCCAAAACATGAATTCTGTATGCAGTGTTGTTTCACTTTACTGCAACACTACTTACATTTTTCTAACAAAACCAATTATTTAGCAGTGTTACATTAGCTGAGCAAATCCCTCTTCCTGTTCACACATGCATTAAAACCAGTTAGCTGTGATTTCAAATTTGTCATCATTTATTATCGCAAGCACGTTAAAGTGATGTATGCCATAACCCTCTAGCGCCAAAATATCTGCATGAGTTACCTTATTGGTCGATTTTCTTTGCTGTCAAAAAGTGAGAATATCACTTCTAGCTCTTCTCCCAGGTTAGAGCACATTAAACTTTTCATCTGCACAAAGAGGTGGTGACTACTTGCTGGTACTGGAGTGTCCTTTTTTCTATGTCTGTGTTCCATCTGTAAAATATTAAGGATGAAAAGAAACTCAGCAGCGCTTATGACATGTAAGCCCATTTCATTATCGTAATGCCTGTATTGGAACATTATAAATCTAAAAAATAAATCAGATGGTAAAACATATCTAAACCCAAGAACAAAAATATATTACACATTACTAGTGCTTACATATGGTGGCTGCCTTAGATTTATTTTCCTTTATTTACACCTGGTGTTCCTGTCAATAACACACTTTGTGTCCAAGGGGGACAACTCTTACCGTACTATTTCTATGGAAGAGCAGCATTGTCACCCTAGGACATGATTACAGAACACCTCTGGCTCTCCTCTTCTCCAAAACATGGGGGAGGTGTTCTGTAGTCATCAGACAGCTAGGAACAATGCAAGGGGCGGGTCTATCTGACGCTACACGTGGAGCACAAGAGACGGAAGTGTTTGATGTTTTACCGGCTGGTTTTTCTATTCCTATATGTGAGTTTTTCTTTTTTTTTTATAAAATCTGTTTATTTTTAGTTCGTTTTGATGATCTGGGAGGAGCTCTAAGTAATGGAGAGACTGAGGGCAGAACGTGGAAGGAGGTCGTTGTGTACTGGAGATTTGTCTGATATCAAAGCGCTAGCTGACTATCATTTCACAGTCAGTATTTGGGGTGAGTGCACATCCACTGATAGTGTTTTTTCATAAGGAGAAAATCACATTACTTTGGAACACGAACTTGGTGTGCGGTTTATTTACACAGTATTGGATATGGAGAAATTCCTTTTTTCACTTGAGACAATTTTTTGATCTATTACTCACTGTTTGAATTGGACTGTCCTATTTTTGTTTGTTTGTTTGTCTGTTATCAGTCCATTATTTATATTCATATTTACTTATCATGTCGTGTCCTGTATAGTAAATATATCTACTTGTGGTACAAGCTGTGGGCTCTTAAAGGGTCACTGGGGAAATAAAATGGCGGGGAATGTGGTAGGAGGTCCTAGAAACCTGGTTGGGGTGAGGGGGTTATACGAGTAGGTGAGAGCTGTTTGGTAAGCTCTGGATACCCTGAAAAAGCTTTGCTGCCAGTAAGATGCTGGTGATAAATAAACATACACCCACAGACGCACAAAGGAAACCCAAATTAAAAAAATAGAGCCAAATATGACCTTAGAGTACAATAAGTGACACCTTGGGCATAAAGTCCAGAAATGTCACCAGCACACCATTCAAATGTGAAGTAAATCCATTTACTGACACATGCTTGTCATTCAAATACTATTTGAATGACAAGCATGTGTCAGTAAATGGATTTACTTCACATTTGAATGGTGTGCTGGTGACATTTCTGGACTTTGTGACATTCGCGGTGCCATCCGTGGTCACTTCGAGCACACGCCTGATTTAAGGAGTGCAACAGGACATATTTACTTGTGACCTTGGGCATAAAGGGACATCTCAATGGACACAACTATGAAATCTTGCTAAATGTATTTCCTGATGTAATATGTTACTCAGTGCTTTATTTGCTGCTAGTGTTTCAGATAGCTAGTTATGTGTGGTCACAGGTTTGTTTGCTTTGGAGCTACTATATTGTATTAATTCTAGCGCTTACTTTGTTAAATGTGTTTAGCTTGGACTGTCTGCATAACAACATCTATGTCAGTAGGAGAACAATGCCATACATTAACATATGAGCAGTCTCTGATTGCCTTGTTAAATGCTAGCAGCCTCTAGGGGTCTTTTGTAACTGTAAAAAGTACATTTCAGATAGGGTCAACAATTCTGCTACTTAAAAAATTAGTGAAAACTTTTGTGATTAAAAAAACAAAAACTCCTTAAATTGTCTCTACTTTTCTATACCATCTTGGAATAAACCATTACTGTGAAATTATGCTTATTTAACCACACCCACTTTTAAGTCATGGCATGCTATGTACGACACTTGAATTTGGGCCCTTCTGTCTCACTCCTCTAGTGGACCTCAAGGACCCTAGTGCTGAATTGATAATAGGTCCGAAAAAAGAGTTTTCCAATCACAAGCTCTGAATGTTTGCATCAGTCAGTGATATCAACTTACCAATCGGTATAATTCAGTAACACTAATTTCTTCTGGATCCACCATGGCAAATTCTTTCCTAGGGACCAAATCCAGTCCCAACTGCCTATAGGAGGAATATAAAACAATACCTAATTATACTCTTGACAAACTATGAAATTAACAGTACAGTAAAAATGAACTATAAAAATATAATGTTGATTATTTTATTTGACTAAAGCGGGAAAAAGCTGGAGTTTGGTGCAAAAATAAGCACATCATCAATTTTAGGGTCTAGTGCCTGCACCTCAAAATGTTCTCAAAACCAAAAGACAGCTAGCCACGTGAGTTAGCTGACAGCATGAACTGTTAAGGGACATCACCTACCTGCACATTAAACCCTGCAGCAACACCCGCTATGCCAAAAAAGTTAGTAAGCGAGTATAAACTTTCTGATGATCTCATCATGAATGGTAGTTAGGAAGCATACATGTTTTCCATTGCCAAGTAGTAGAAAAACAGCAAGGGTACTACAAGTGTCACTGCAAGGGCTAAGGTGCAGGTAAATGCTTCTATCTGCTGACCTGGCTTATGCTATAAACTGATATTCTGCAGATTGTTTTGTCCACCAAACCACAGTTTCCCTATAGAAGTACAGTTTTCTAAGACATCTGTTTTTAATTCTGCCAGAAAACATAAATTTAGTTTAAGAAACACATACAATAAAACAACAGACATAATATTGTAGGAAAACACATTTCTTTTTCTAAGAATTGTAAAAGTTGTCTTGACTGGCACTGGCATTCAGCTTTGCACATTAATAATAAATATTGTATCCTGGGGGAAACTGTACAATACCAAGAAACAGCACAGCACAAGCCTTGGAAACTAAATCTATATTGTTGGGAGTGTAAAAATAATAACTGGCATTCTCCATCTGTTCATCCATCATTATCCTAATACAGTTGTGATTGACCTGGCATTACAATAAATTGAGATCGAGTGACATAAAATAACCAGTGTGCAGATAATGGGAAAATGGCATTATGCCAAAAGTGAAAACCTTTCAACACATAAATAACATTATGCAATTAAACAAAATAGTATTTACCTGCTGTCAAGACTACCATTACATTACAGCAAATATTGATAAGGATCTTCAACAAGCACAGTCTGAAAGCCATGTTGTATGCGATAACAATAATTTAATGAAGTAATACTGTGTATAAGGTAACAAAGTCAGAGAAGTCCTATTATGCCCCTTATACAGCACAATTTACTTTTTTCAAAGACATGCTTTCTGCAATTTCCCCACATCTGGAAGGCACGCATCATCTATGGCAATGACGCAAATCTATCTCTGGATCTTATTGCATAGATTATTGACAGATCAAACTCTGACAGAGTTACCCTAAACCACCCAACGACAGGAGGCACTAAATGAGCATAAATGCTTCAGTCCGAAGGCCTCAGTGGAATTTAGTCCATGACAAATATATCTGTGAGGATATACACACACTACTTATTCTAGGATTGACCATCTCTTTATGTCCTGCCATATGATATCTTGTTTCCTCTGAGAAAACAAGAGACATGTAGTAGTCGGATCACTTGGTGATCTCAGCAGTTGGCTCTCTACTTGCAACTGAAAACTAAACAAATCCCTACTTAGTGACTCTTTATTGTGCATTGAAGTGCAGGATCATATAAATGACTTTTTTCAAGTACAGGACCCTAAAAGCACTAGCCCTATCATAAATTTGGTAGCATATAAAAGATACCATACATAAGTTCCCAATTCAAAAAGCAGCATGCACCAAACAAAATTCCCTATTTACCATTCTATAAAATGAAAAGATTCTGGCTGACCTGACTAGGTAACATAAACAAGACCCTATTGATAGCTCAGAGGGAAAATAGATGCAGCAAGTGTAGACCTCAATCTAGCTTTAACGCCTATGGTCAAAAAGAGAGGACAGTGTAACAAATTCTAGTTCTATGCTCAAGCTGACAAGATTGTCACCTTCTAGTTGGAACCCTCCCCTGTGCACCACTCCAAGAAATCCTTAGAATTCAGTGTTGCACAGGAAAATAGCCTCAAAACCCTAAGTTGGTTCTTCAAGGGTTTTTCTCCTTCTAACCCAATCTATATAGTAAAAACTTCTTTACCCAACAGTCGATAGACTTCAGGAACGTTTTGGGGACCTTTCTATGTGAAAACTGTTGTAAACCAATAAAAACATGCTGGAAGTGGACATATCTATTGAAGAAAATAAAGCTGTTGTTAAACAAGCTATGTTCACCCCCACTCCAGATTACTACGTTTTTCAAACTGTGTATTTTTACGCTCTCATCCCCAATCTTGAAACAATTTTTTATGTCATTAAAAAAGGAACCCCCCTTGACACAGACACAAACAGAACCTATATAAGTACAATACCTAAAAATTGCATTAAAAAGATGCAGATGTTGCCAACTAGGACCCATCTCCCTAATTAATTCTGTTAAATGCCTCGCTAAAATTCTTGCAAATGGACTCTCTAGTTTAATAGCCAATCACTACTGACGACTGAAAACAAGTGTGGATCAAGCCACAGGAACAGTGGAACAGTGTCCTTGAGAGAGTCAGGTCCTCATCTGGCACGAAATCGATTGACCTGCCTCCACCTTGGAGAGTAGGATGGGGGTTCAATGGCGGCCCCTGCAAGAGGAGGCCTTAGGGAGGCCCATCGCCTTGAAATCGGATATGGCTACTCAAAATTTTCTCTAGAAAGGGAAGAATCCAGAAGTAGATCAAGAGGATGCTGGGGAGGACCCTAATGGATGCAACGAGTCAGGGAGCAACACGTTGGACTAGCAGTTACCATACACCCAGTGGTGGAAATGCTGTCCCCTGAGCCAGAAGGCATCTGTGAGGCACCAGTAACCCCACCCAAATGCCCCCCCCTTCTCTAAACCACCAGAATCTTCACTATCTACAACCACAGGGAGTGCCATGTGTCTTAACTCAGGCAGTGGTGACCAGGATAAAACAGTAGCAGTGCAGCGGCAGTGATTCAGGGAGAACAGGGAAGCAGAAGCTTGTCCCAGCAGGAGACAAAGATAACGTTCTTTTCCTGCGTGTCCTCTGGTAAAATGGTTAGTGGATGTACAGTAGGGGCACCCAGAGGGTAACTGAGCAGGCACCATCCGTGGATCCTGCCTGCACAGAAAGGGTGCCAAATGTAACATTTGCAGCGAGAACAGAGCACCTATCACGCAACCGAAGGGTCACACTCACCTAGAGCAGGGTCCAATTGGGAAATAGCAGGTCAGTTGTGGGCACCAAATGTTAGGGTAGAGGCAAAAGGGCTTATCTGAGCAAGGTAGATTACCAGAGGGGGTGCCTAAGAAGTCCGAAGAAATGCTTATAGCTTTGTCCTGCCGGTGTGCATACCCCCTGATGGGAGTCTCCAGGGAAAGGGTTCCAATGCAGAGGACCATGGTCCTAGACCTATTAGAGCACTCTACAGCAGCTCATACATGCCTAGGTGAGCGCCACAATGCAGGGTTCAGTGCTATGCACACTGCCAGCCTTGTGTTGTCTGTCAGGGTCCAGGGCCCAAGGCCCAGGCTCTGCCAAGAAGAAAACTATCTGGATAGCTGCTGAAGGCACAGCAATGGCTTAGAGCAGCACTATGGAAAACTTGGTTGAAGAATCTTGGATAAATCTCAAAAAAAATGTTCAAAAAAAGAGTACTACTCTCAGAGCTGAGAGATGATGTCCAACACCTAAGGATACTAGCAAAAAACTGAAGCAGGCTGAAGTGCGAGTGGTTATGCAGGGCTGTCCTGTAGCTTGTATTGCTTTTCCAGTGTCCAGTGTCTCAGAATTAACGCCCTATGATGCACAACCAAGACATTGCATGTCCTAAATGCTCACATCATATGTACCATACTACACACTAAATATGAAAAGTGGTGCCTACAGGCTGATGGACAGAGGAGGATCTTGATGTTGTATGCTTACTTGAAGTCCCTTTTCTACTTTCTTATATGACTGCCTGAGATTGATCTGGGAAGTACTTTTGCCTGTGAATTATGGTGCGAGTGGAGTGGTACTCTAGCATATTCAGAGGCAGTATCAATGTTTCTCTAATGGAAGCCAATTTCAAAGTTCTGTCTAGATAGTACTTGGTTCCGTCAGGTCTTTCTGCCATTTTTCCAAGTACATCACCTTTGTGCTTTTGCCTGTGGGGAACTATGTACCACATATAGTATAGTGTTTATGTCCACAAGTGGTCAGATTTTGGAATAAGGTGTACAATCTCAAACACGATGTCTAGGACCTTAAACTAAATAAGGAACAGCGTCCAGGCCTCTTAAATGAACCAATACCCAATCTCCCAAAGCATTCTCAGACTTTGGTATTTTTTGCAGTGCTGGGAGCAAAATCATTTACAGCACAGCCTTCAACATCAAAACATCAACCGTTTCCAGACCCACTACCACAATTAAACTTGGATTATGGTTCATGAAGGCTTGGCCAGTATTGTGAAGGATAAACAAATCACAATTTAAAAGAGTATGGAATCCTTAGATTTGCTTCCTAGGCTCATAGTTTCTAACTGGTCCCTTATTGTGCCAGTCAAATAGGATTTTACATTTCTTCTTCTTTGAGGCCTAAAAAATTAACTGTATTCAAATAATTTTGGGGGTGTATCCCCCCTTCTGTTTCTCTTTCCCTTTTTATTCTAGATGTCCATGCATATCCCTACCTTGGAGTTGCAATTCATATATTTTGTTTTTATGACCATATTCAGTACCTTATGCAGTTCCAATGTAAAATAACAATAGCACTTATTTTTCTGTACTCCATATCTTTTATGATTAAGCTTCAGTAAAAATGTATTGAAATAATAAGTTAGGAAAGCAAAACTATAAAGTGGAGGTGGCATGTGTGCCACGACTTAAAATGGATTTCTATAAATAAATGTTGCCCTGAAAGCACAATGGTCAGTGTCCTCATAATATGGAATTGAGAGTGGTAAATAAAAAAAAATAGGAAGGAATATTTTAAGTTTTTTTGTTTATGCTGTAACAAATGTACCAAATAAGTTTTCTGTTAATGAAAGTTTTCAATAGCAC